TGCTCGGCATGTTCTGAGAATAAAATTCGTACCTATGATTAAGACCGCTTTAGCACCAACGTCACTGCTCGCGTATCGACACGATCAGTCACGTACATCGTGTAATTATAGTAATCAAGAATTATTACGCGCCATCCGGACTAATAATACTCATATTAAGAGCGTGTCGTAAAGTATGCCTTTCCGCGCAAGACGCACCGTAAATTATCGCAGACAATATGTAAGAATATGTAATTAAATTTATTTTAATTTAATCTAATTTAACAGCTCCAACACCATTAATATCGATCTACAATCGTGAAGCCACATTGGCAAACGATAAATCAGCGGCGTTTATCTACTTTATTTTAAGTAACGAATTCGTATACATGAAATAAAAATTTCGTATAAATAAAATAAAATTAAAATGTATTCGAATATACAACTATCTTCCCGAACTTTGTATATCAAATGTAATTTATTGTAAACTCTTCGCAAATATTAAATACGTAAGAATCAATTAATTTTCCTATTTGTAACTTTATAAGAAGCATCATTAAAAAGTAAATTTCAAATATCAGTAATTCAATGAACATGTAAGTATATCAGCTGTTTTAACTAACGTTAGTCGCTTCTCGCCGCTCGTAGACTTCAATTACATGCAAAATGGAATCTTTTCAATAAATAAATCCACCTGCTTTGCCGCTCGTAAGTTCGCCGATTGCCGATGCGTGCGCGATCTAAGCGCATGCGTGCTCACGCACCGCGCGGTGAGCGCGATCTTATGATTATGAATATACAGCAGGTGAGAGAGAACGAAGAGAATGGTCCAGGTGGGGAAGCGTGGGGGAGCGGATCGGGTTGTCCAACCAGCAGGATGGTAGCCGCGGACTGCCCACCGCGGCCCATTGGCCGGGTTCGCGAGTCCGCTATCGTATTATCGCCGAGGCTCGCCGTTACGATACATCGGCGGCCGACCGCCGATCTATCGCGCGCGTTCTCGGACCTGTCTGCGTGCCACGCACCTGCGATCGATCGCGCGCGACTATCCGTCGCTCGATCGCGTCGCTCGCGGAGACGAAGCGGCGCGTGAAAGCGCGCGCGCGAGGCGGCGTGGCGCGGCGCGGCGCGGTGAGGCGAGCGAGAGCGGGTTTGCTTATTAATGCGAAACGCGTGACGCCCAACTCATATGAAAATCGGAATGGTCCGTGGCGTAATTGGTAATCACGGTAATCCTCCACGGTGATTTCACGGAAAGTCCATAAAAATTTAGCGGAACTCGCGCGAAGATCGTAGATTAGCGGCGAGGAAAAATCGCGAAACTATAACGATAAGCTGCGCAATCATCGACTAAATAAGCGACGTATCTGAAAATACAGGGCCGTAAACAGAGACTTTCCACAAAAAATTGCTTTAATGCGATCAATTTGTGTAATAAACCTTTTCAAACACCATCTTCTTTTCGTAAATATTGTAAATAATCGATCAACCAACATGTCTTGTCTCCGAAGCAGATAAAACTATCTATCGATTCTGTCTTATATCTATATGGTGCTAATATTTGTGAAATAATTATTATATACTTGCCATAAAGCCCGCACTTCTTCACTTTTCAGAATCAAATGGAATACAGCATGTACGTTTAACAATTGATTACGCAGCCAGAGGACACGCATCTCTCAGTATTTACTCTTGGCCGCTGAACAAAAAACGTTATCGCGTACCTAGACCTAATCATTAAAGTTTCATCTTAAGTCTATGCATTTTGTGAGACCGTAGAAGTTAAGAAGTACTATCTAACAATTTCACGACAGAGCGTATTGTTCTTCTACGGTGTACCGATACAAAAACCGACAGTATTATCGACGTTCAACGTGTAGCACTTCGAAGAAATGCACGAGCCGTCCAGGACATACGATTGCCGCGTAGGAACGTGGAACGGACTCCGTGTATATCTCCTGAGAGGGAAGAAACGCAGGCAACGGCTGCCGGTGGACGACGAAGACGACGGAGGACGAAGAGGGCGGAGGGGGGGCTCCTGCCGACTTACAAATTATACGCGCTCAACGAGATTTACGGGTGACGCTTTGAGCGAGACCATTGTCCATCCTCGCTCACTTCTTTACCTCTTTACTCCTCCACTTTGGTCGTCTTTGTCCCTTCGTGAATCGCCCATCCTCCCTCGGTTCCTCCGCGAGTCCCTTCGTTCCCAGAGGACCGCGCGAGAAGGACGGAGGGACGCGGCTGCGCGCGAGCAGTAGGGAACGAGAGGGAGATAGAGCAGTATTCGTCGCGAAAAAACCGAGGAATGCCGATCGACCGAAAGGGGAATCCGGTTCCAATCGGATAATCGGAGCCCCGGGTCCTCGCGGGCTAGGAAGATTCGCGAGAAGGACGTAATGCGCGACTCGATGACGAACGATTGTACGACCGACTGATTTATGGTGCCCGCAATATTTTCGGAGCAAGGGCGGCATTCCGCAGGAATGAGGATCGCAGAGATGACGTTTCGCCGAGATTCGGTAGAAACATTTCTAGATCTCCAGCCTCTAATTTAAAGAATTTAAAGAAGTTTTAGAGAGTTAATATCCTTAATACCGATAAATTCACGTCAAAGCAATGCGTATTAATTTATACATTGCATCGCGATACTTATCACCGTAGTACGTATGTTCAATAAGTACCTACGCTATTTTTAATAATGTCGAAATATCATGATAAAAAAATAAAACTTTCAATTTCTATAGATAATATTTCAATTAAAAAACTCATGCGTGTACGAATTGCTCTAATAAATTTACGAGATTTATAGATTGAATTTTGTGGCTGTGGTATGCGCCGCGATAACTGCTGAAGCGGATAAAACGGTGCGACACGTGTCTTCATGCGCGATAGTAGCCGCAGATTAACTCGCAGATGATGGACGAAGCACGCAGAAAGAAAGAGCGGCGAGTTTCCAGTCTGGCCGTTAAGTACCTGTTATCGAAACACAAACCGTCATCCTCCTAATATATTTATCAAACACGCCGTGAACGACGGCTGCGACAGGCAAGCGAGCCAGAAAGCAACAAGGTGCGGACTCACGGCACATCGTCAGGATGCAGAAATCCGTCTTAAATCGGAAACAAATATTTAACCAGTCTCAAGAGGGACTCCATCCTCATTCCTGCGCGAGCAAGCTTTCCTCTGACTCTGTTAAACTTGACCCATCGTAAATGAACACTTAAGAAAACGTTTCATTCATAACCTCCCCAAAAAATATCTACCTGATTAAAATTGGTACAATAATCGGCCAATTTAATAATCGCTCTTAATTGCGTGGTATTTAATTTTATGATGTTTCCAGTATATGATAGTAATTGGATTACTTTCACCTTGTTGATATATGCACAAAGTCCACGCTACGCTAGATAGATACGACACAGTCCGTCTCCGGATGCTGTTATCCCGAGTGGCACGGGCACGATAACGTTCTATCACCGTGCAAACATTTGCGTAACAAAGTGAGGTACACAAAATGTCACGCTACCGAGTAATTTATTGTTACTCGTCGAGATAATTGGGATTCAACGGTAGCTACTGAAAGTGTCACGTAATCTCGCGTCGCGCTAATTGTTATACGTTCGATATTTTAGAATCTCCTTCGTCAACCGACACAATCATCGCAATTTAAAAATAATCTGAAATAGAGTGATTTAACAAATAGGCAAAATAAGTTCGCATGTAGTCACAGCCGGAAATAAAGAGATATTTAGCGAAGCTGCGTTTGCGTTCAATAATGAGCGATTTACGTACGCACAAAATAAGGTCATAAATCTCAAGACGGAGCTTGCTTATAAGAGCATGGATAACTACCAAAGGAGGATTTATAGCGCCATTACTCATCTTACGTGCGCGTAACGCGCGACGTAATTGATAACCCAGATGACGCACCTCGAAACTGGAGCACTCGTTAGTTCTTCACGTTCGCCAAGTATTGGCTTTAAAATGCAACCAAAGCGACAATCTCGTATCCACGTACGCGTAATATCATGGCAACACTTGTACAGAGATTGAAGATACGTGGACGACAATATAGCAATCAGTACTGACGTTAAACGCAAAAACGATAACTTACTAAAAGGATCATCGGGATAGGACTTGGATACGGAAGCTTAGCTGCGTATAATAAACAAGTATTCGTAATTTAACACAAGCAGGTAAGTTAAAAAGAGGGAATTGTGACGAATAGATCCATGATGTCAATGAAATCGCAATCAAAACGCTCGCAATTGTGTTCATACGTTAAAATATAAGTAAGAATCGAATTATACGAAAGAAATATTTGTTCTATATTTCCATTTTTTCTAGCTAAACAAGCAAGCGGGATAAATTACCGTGGCATACATGTGACTTATGTTTTTTTAATCTACGTTTTTTATGGCCGTCACGTGTAATGGCGCCAAGGACATGACAAGCTGTTCTCTCTTTATCTCATTTTTGGGAGACTTTGACGAGGGAAGCGAAAACGCGTTGTTATTCCTATCGCGGAGACAACTGTTGCTGCCAGTTAAGATAATCACGTTAAGATAATCACGTCAAAAGTAGCAGAGCGAGAAATGTTTTATCACGTTTCGAATTCGTAAGTCTGAGAGGATCCCGCGAAAGTCTAATAATAAAAACTAAATTAAATTACATTTATAACATAAGCAATATTATAAATGTTTATAAATTTCTCATATTAGCTCGAGATACTGTTTATAATTAGACAAGTAAAACTCAGAATGAAGCGGTCACCTGTATGAATATGCAACTTGTTTACTAATACTTATCTCCCTTAACAAAGGAATAATTAAAAAAGCAGCGAGAAAAGAGGAACCTTGAACTTTATACTCTGTTTGATCTGTATCCCATTTCATATAAATCTGATATACATAAATGCTCTTATAATGATCTATAAAGATTTAGCGATGCGTCTTCACAGCACAAACGGAGCAAAACAAAAGAAGGGAACAGCGCAGAGAAAAATGTGTGTCACTCACCAGAAAGAGCCGGTAATGGGGGTGACGAGGAGGAGGCAGATCGCCACGAGAACGGGGCGCATCTCCATCCCCTCCGCACCGGATAACACCCTCGAACCGATCACCGATTACTTTTTCCTTTGTCCGCTCGGCGCACTGACGTTCGATAAAGACAGCGAAAAACGCGCGGGACGATGGTGTTCGTGAGCTCACCGGTGCTCGGCTGCAAAGACGAGTCTCGACCGCGAACCGCCAATACGCGTGAGTTCACCAGTGTGTTCCTCGGTTTCGAATGCACCTCGTGGCCGATAATTGGCACGCGAACTGACGCACTCTGTCCCTCTACCGCGCGACTCCCTTATCGTGCGGTCCAGCAAAACTCGGCATCGCAACGTAAATCATCGCCCGCAAAGTGCCGCCGGTTCCTCTTGAAACCCTCGATGGAACGGATGTTCTCAGGACCAGTACAGGAGCGCGCTCGAGGACAATGGTCATCGCTCGCAGAGAGAGAGAGAGAGAGAGAGAGAGAAAAATTTACTTGCAAAGTTCTTCGTTCTTGATCGTTGCATCTATCGAAGAATTATTCTTCGACGTTGCGACTCTCGACACCTCTTCTTGCGAAGCGAAGTTACTGAGATTACGCGGCCATGACGATCGCGGTGAACACTTGATCTTCATGATCGTATCACGCTCGAAAAAGCTCGAGGGCAATCGGAGAAGATATCCTTTGTTGGGAGAGACACGTCTTCAAGATCGCGAAAAAGGGGCTCACGATTCAAGGAAGACCCGGAAGAGGAGCACTGATTTCCGGTCCACTTGGACCACTTGCCCCCTCTTTTCCCCCCTCCCCAGCCACCCTCTGTCCTTCTCTCGCACCCGCTGACTCCCTCTTCTTCCCTCTCCCTCTCCCTCTCTCTCTCTCTCTCTCTCTCTCTCTCTCTCTCTCTGCTTGTCAAGGTATCTGACGTTTCTCTTCCTTCTCCTTTTTTTCTCTACTCTTCCGCCTCGTTTCTTTCTCTTCTTCTGCTCCAAAAGTACCAAGTACGTAAGGTACAGATGAAGCGTAGAAAAGTTTGCTCGCTACGTGGGCAAAAACGCGTCGCGTTCCTGCCAGAACTACGTCACCACGATCTTTGAGTGTTGCCTTACCCCCACCAGTTCTGGGGAGTAGAGAAGAGTTGCCCCCACCAATATACGCCGTTTTCTTCTTCCTCTTCTTCTTCTTCTTCTTCCTCTTCTTCACCGGCACCAGCACCACCACCACAACAACCATCACCATCGCCGCCGTCGCAAGACTATCGTCGCCGACGCCCGCGACAGGCGCGTCTTCGATTTCGCCGTCGCGAGAAACGCGATCTTCGTAAAAGAGGCCATCCCCCTTTCGATGAAGATGCTGAAGATTCTTCAGACAGATCGAACGGATGGATCGCAAAGTAGACCCGCGAGTTTCGTAGTAACGCGCGCAAAATTGTAGGCGAGAAAGAGGAACCGAGAGGGAGCCGACGGAAGGACGGAAATAACGGTGGCAGGAGGGGGAAGGAAGGATGGAAAGCCTGGTGAGAAAGTCTGACGTAAGTGGAAAAATCCAGATGGTAGGGGAGACAGCGAGGTTCTCTCCAGCCGTCTGCGATCGCCAGCGAGGCTCCTGGCCGGAGCGAACCGTACGAGACTGTTGCGGACTAGGCAGGTGAGCGCCACTCGGCGGCAACGAGACGCAACCGAGCCCCTCTTTTCCACTTTTAACTCGCCTACGGAACCCGTCGACACGAGGAGGCTCGCTCTCGTCGGATCGGATCCTCTCTGCTTTCGCGCCGGCCGGCCGCGCTCTGCCTAGGATCCCACGGAGGGAGGCGCGACCACGAGTCTCTCGGACGCGCGATGTCAAGGTGATAGACGCGATGCTGGGCGATGAATAATAGCGGTCAGAAATCATTAACAGGTCGCAATGAGATAGCACAGCCTTTGGGACATTAAAAAATGATCCGCCGTACGCTGCACGTATTTTTTCTGGCACGATAAAATATATCGTGAGAATTGAATCTTCTGGAAAGCGCTTTACTATAAATTTCGATCAAATGAAGTATAGTATGGAATCATGAGATTCACCCTAAAATGTATTGAGATATACTAAAATATCTCAGTTATTACTTGCCATTGATATGTAGCCTAAATATTTGCGAATGCGTCCTTAAAAATATTTGTAGTAATATTTTGCATAATTTAAATTTATTCTATTAATAAAATAAGAAATATATAGAGTTTTATCACGTTTCTCTAGTCTTATTCGTAAGTAACCTAATCATTATTATCGCGATAAGCGTAACGAAATTGAAGCGAGAAATTGAAAAGAGACTGCAACCATGATTTACCGCTTCGAAAATAAAGGACTTGATCGAAAGATTATCCGGAGATCGATTCGACGCTCGAGTATACCTCTTATCCCTCTACCACCCTCCTACCCTCTCATTTCCGTAATAAGGAGTTTGCTGCGCCCTGTCAAGTGAATCTCGGCCCCGACGAGTCGCTGTCCCATCCGCTTCTCATCGCCCCTTCGCCAATAGTAGCGTGACAAAGAGAACTCTTTTACCGGATGATGAGTTTTCAGGGTTGAGAAGCGCCACGAGAAAAGCAGGTATCGATGATGATCCTGACATTTTCCGTGTCGCCGTCCGCCTTCACGGGAGATACACACGGGAGCAGGTACTCGTGTGTGCGACTCGAGACGCGAGAGAGATCCGATCTTCCCCTCGTGGGCCCTACCCAATACGCGTACGAAGCGAGTAAGGACTAATAACGGGGCCCCGGTAAGTCCCATTCTGATGCTTTGTCAAGGCGAGCTCTCTCTCCGCTCGGTAGCCGTCTCATGCCTCGTTTCCCTTCGACCCGCCACCTCGCCCCGACTGGTCCTTTCGCGTCTCTCCCTCGCTTCTTTTCTCTTCCTCCTTTCGACCAGCGCGGCGCGGCGACCTGCTCCTTCTACCTCGCCTCGCCTCCTCCCACCATATCATGGCTTCGGTACACGCCGCGGGCATCATCGTAGAGGGCTATTGAGGGCTTAAGCTGTCGGCGTGTGGCTCGCTACATCCTTTTCATCTCCGCCGCCACGACAAAGCCGCGCGAGCGCCTCGCGGCCCCGCGCGCAGCCTTTACCGGTTTTCGAGCACTTCGTCGTTTCAGAGGAGTGTATATCGGTGCTCCGAATTCTATTACACCCAGAGATGAGGCCTAGTAATAGATGTAGCTTCTGCCGCTAACAGCATTCTATTTCGGTAGCGGCGTTCGGCCTTTTAACAGTCGTCATTACGCGGAACGTACGGTAATTATAGCTCCCAGGAGTATGTTTACTGCCGCGTTACATGACGATATTTTACAATCTATGCATCTAGCCTCGCGTCCGCGCAATAATGATCACATCCAGCTAATAGCTCGAATCGTTAAGAGTTTACGAGAGTTCACTCCCGACTTAAATCCCGCGGTTCCTCATTCGCGATCAAAATACGTGATCTTTGAGAAACAAATGACGACCCGACCTTGAGAAACTTCGAACGGGGTCTAATGAAATCAAGAAGAGCTTAATTATAATTAAGATCCCTTAATTAATCGTTTCCGCGCCATCGATCGTACGGGTTACAGCGCTGATCGGAATTGGCCTAATTGTTGGATCGGCCGTTGAGTCGCGGGTCAATTGCTTCGTTGACCGAATAGTTTTACGAGCAATAGCTCTCGATGTCACGACCATTTCCCGTTATTTCTCAGAATAATAGTTGGGACAACAAACTGCGAATTAGTTTGCTCAATGGTGGAAAAATGAAATGATGTTTTCGCAGAAGAAAATGCATCGCCGATAATGTAAGATAAAAATAGATTCCACCGTTTAATTTAAAAAATATATATATTTAATCGTGTAATGCAATAAATAACATCATTGCGTAACTATTGTTGTATATATTAAAAATCTGCAATAATAATTATGTCATGATATTAACAACGTACTGATATATTACATAATAAAACTATCATATTGTTAATAGATAATATAACAATGGAACAACGAATTACTCAAATAAAACATATAACAATTTGGCATATACATAACAACTTGTTTTCATAACACCTATAATTATTATTTCAATGTCAATAAATTACCTTTCAATAACATTATTTTCATTCGGCTAATTGATTTCTTAAAGAAAGCTAATGTTCTTATATTCTTTCACCTTAACTTTTTTTTTTGCCTACTATCTCCGTAAAGATTTCCTTTCTGAGCGCGCAATCTCCAGGAATGGGGCAAGTCATTGATGGGATCTCAGTGATAGAGACGAGGGCGATAATAGCGGCGATGAAAGGAGGAAAAAATAAAGGAGAGCCGAGAAGCAAAAATATTGCAGGAAGAGTCGACAGCAGAAGAAGTCGTCTCGTGTGGTCATATCATAACCTGCGGCCCGAGCAGCGTGAGTGGTTTTAAGCAGCGATGAAAGAGAGGGGGGAATATATCTCGGAGTACCGTTCAAGGAGGGCAAGACGGGGAGAGGAGAAGTTCAGCGGGGGTCCGTATTACAGCTCATTTAGCAGCGGGATCCTGTGCCCCTTTCTTCAGCGCCCCGAGAGATCCACTTGGTCCAGAACAGGTCCGCGGACCTACGGCAAAGATGAGCCCGTTTCGTTCCCATAGAATCGGACCTCCTGGCACTTATAACCTTCCGCCACTAAGTAGCACATCTCTTCGATCGTATTTAGATACTTCATTCGTACGTGATATCTTACAACATCTAACTCGCTGAGACAAACATACAATTGTGCGTTGAATTATGTAAATTTATCTAGAAGGAACCAGCCATATTCAGCTGTATGTGTGTGTGTGTGTGTGTATCAAAAAAGGGGTCTAAAAAATAATTAACAGAAAGTATGCATCAATGTTGGTGGAACGACGAAACGTAACAATAAGTTCTTATTCGCGGATCCTAAGGTCTCCGCGTTCTCACACCTCACATCTGTCATTTACACGAAAGAGAAATTTTGAGTGACCAACCGCTGTACGAAGAAGTGTAGAAAGAGAAAAAAGGGAAGTTGGAACGTACCGGGGCGGGGATAGGGTGGAACGGGTGTTACCGACTCGTGACCAACACAGACGCGAAATAGCCAGTAATTTATGGGTGAGACTAATTACCGGGGAATGCAGCTCCTTCGACTCTCCTCTGTTCCTAAGACCGCAACTGCACCAGACCAGTTTTCAGAGACGAGGAGAGCCACCTCTCTTATCCCGCCACCTTTTTCGTTCTCTTTCTCTATCATCCAAATTCGTCCGCCCCCCCTTCTCGCACTTCCCCTGCGAGCGTTTATGCGCTCGAACTTGCATATTAATTCCGCGGTTTCCGATTAGAGTCCGTGCGTGCTAATTACAACAATCAGTTCTGCAAAACAATCCATCTGTTTCCATATATTTATATATACGTGAAAAAGAATGTAGCGTATACAATATGTATTATAAATTATATTAAAAATATGTGTGGTGTATCAGACTCATAAAATTTCAAACATCTGTTAATTAGTTAATCTAATAAAAATATCAATATTTTTTCAACATACTATGATAATAATCCACTAATAATCCTAATAAAATTAAATTAATTAGCCCATCTTTTTATCATTTAAATTAATTAATTCAAGTTTAATAATTCTAATTACTGACCAATGCGAGAATCATTCGATAATTCGAATAATAACGTAAAGAATTAAAATGATAGAAGTAGGAACGATTCACGAAATTAAGGACCGATATCCAGCTAGGATAATGGAAGAAGGGCGGACGCGCGTTCTCACGGGGTAAAGTGCCTGGAAAGAAAGGTGTTAGAACAATACCCACGATCGTCATCGGGCATCATTTGTACATTAG